CGAGGTCAATGGTCTAACGACTACGGCATGCACGACTATGAGTCCCCCCCCCCCCGCCCCATTGAACTCCGTCGCCCATTCATTGCACCCAAGACTTTGACTTTCCAACCGAAGATCGGGTCCACGGTATCTCACACAGGGAAACACCCGGCAGTTCCCGCTAAAAGCAGGGGCAAGCCTGCGGTAAAATCGTAGTCTTCACGTTAGCACCATTTCTAGTCTCTGCTCAAGACCGTACCATAGTCTTCACGTTATAACCATTTCTAGTCTCTGCTCAGGACCGTACCGGTGCCACTGACGCCGAAGCCGCCTCCCGATGTCACAGGTCAACTACCCCAAACTGGCAACTTGATATTGCATGGATACTCAAAAGTAAAAAAAAAAGAGAACCCAGGAACAAACAAAAACAAACACCATAATATACTGAAGCAGAACCGAACCAGAAACACACCAATACGGTCAACGTCGCCGGCCATGTATCCTACAAAGGAGGTACAGTATGCATAGTCTACCCAAGAAGAGCTCAGTGAGAACCCGCAGACCTTCGATACACTTACAGCAACGACTAGACCTGACTCCCAGAGCAGCTGGGACGAAACACAACGTACAACACAACACATACTACAATAGTTAGCCCGAATGTTCGGCAACGCAATCAATCGGCACCTATGAGAAGCGACCCATTGCTTAGCGCGGCACAAAACCACTACGTTTCTTTGACACCAGCCCATCAACCGTCTACGTTCAACAGAATAACTCATTGTGACACCACCACGTGCGATGGCTTCATGTCCAGCCACCTGTCGCTCGAGTGAGGGCAAGTTGACGATCAGCGTTCCTGGATATCAAGGGGCGGGCCTTCATGCTTGTCCCTCTCGAACAAATCCCTTGGTATGCCAACAGTGGGCACTCAAACAAGCTGTAGTCCACGTAAATGTTGAAACAACACATTTGTTAACGTCAAGAAATCAACCTTTTGACGATGCGCACGTCGACGACAATGCATCTGACCCCGAAGCGGTCAACTTGTTCTCGTCCATTCAGAATTGATGTATACGACACGGAAAATAACACACCCACACACAAAACCACACATGGTGGTAAGACTTCTACGGGTCAACATGAACCGAAGAGCAAACTACGCGTGGAGCAAAAACCATTGAAACGTGCATCTAAAGGACAGAAGAATTCCCTGCCGAGATTCCCATATCTCCATAGCCATTTATCAGGACGACGGTTACTACACCCCGAGAAGGATTGCACAGTTGCCATGATGATTTTGATGCGCCTGGAAGGTAGCATTCGAAATACGTTTGTCATGCATATGAAACAACAACTCTCCCTCATTTGATTACGTGGATACCTGAAAACTGAATACACGTACCGAGCTTGGACTGTAGCACCGGTACAAAAAGCCATTCGTTTCAACTACACGCTGAACGAAAACGCGCAATCACCTCCAAAAAAAAACCCGAACTCTTCACAATAGGCTTTTTCCACCACATGTCACAGATTGGAGCGAAGTTGGCCACAATACTCCGGCAATAGGCTACTTGAATCTGAATCCGAACGATAGTTTTTGCAGGGAGGACGGCCACGTGACTCCGGTGGTAGGCTGAATGAAATTTGACCCGAACGATAGCTGCTGCAGCGAGGACGGCCACACGACGTTGGCAATAGGCTGATTGAAGTTCCACCAGAACGATAGCTGCTGCAGAGAGGACGGCCACACGACGTCGGCAAAAGGCTGACTGAAGTTCCACCAGAACGATAGCTGCTGCAGAGAGGACGGCCACGCGACTCCGGCGATAGGCTGAATGAAGTCGTACCCGAACACTAGCTGTTGTACGGAGGAGGGCCACGCGACTCCATCAATAGGCTGATTGAAGAAGTACCCGAACGATAGCTGCTGCAGGGATGACGGCCATACGACTCCGGCAACAGGCTGATCGAAAGTTGGCCCGAACGATAGCTGCTGCAGAGAGGACGGCCACACGACTCCGGCAATAGGTTGATTGTATTGGTCCCCGAACGATAGCTGTTGCAGGGGCGCCGGCAATACGATCCCGGCAATGCGCTGATTGAAACTTGCCCTGAACGATAGCTGTTGCAGGGAGGACGGCCACACGATTCCGGCGATAGGCTGATCGAAACATAACCCGAACGATACTTGCAGCAGGAAGGACGGCCACACGACTCCGGCAATAGGTTGATTGTATTGGTCCCCGAACGATAGCTGTTGCAGGGGCGCCGGCAATACGATCCCGGCAATGCGCTGATTGAAACTTGCCCTGAACGATAGCTGTTGCAGGGAGGACGGCCACACGATTCCGGCGATAGGCTGATCGAAACATAACCCGAACGATACTTGCAGCAGGAAGGACGGCCACACGACTCCGGCAATAGGTTGATTGTATTGGTCCCCGAACGATAGCTGTTGCAGGGGCGCCGGCAATACGATCCCGGCAATGCGCTGATTGAAACTTGCCCTGAACGATAGCTGTTGCAGGGGCGCCGGCAATACGATCCCGGCAATGCGCTGATTGAAACTTGCCCTGAACGATAGCTGTTGCAGGGAGGACGGCCACACGACTCCGGCAATAGGTTGATTGTAGCGGTTCCCGAACGATAGCTGTTGCAAGGACGCCGACAATTCGACTCCGGCAATGGGCTGATTGAACCTGTGCCCCCACGATTGCTGCTGCAGGAAAGACGGCCACGCGGCTCCAGCAATAGGTTGATTGAAGTTGTACCCGAACGATAGCTGTTGCAGGGACGCCGGTAATGCGACTTCGGCGATGGGCTGATTCAAAGTACCCCACAGCAGTGCCACATGTTGCAAATGCACCGCCACGACATATTCTCCATGGGAATATCCGAATCCGCGTGCAATATCAGCTGTGTCAGCCCGCGGGGCCAAGCCACTTCTGATCGTAACCTAGACGCACACGGCGATCCCAACAGCTTTAGACGTTGTGATCACGACCACAGCTCGATGGCGGCTTTCCTCAGCAGAGTTTCCATGGACAGGGCCCACGTCAAATGAAGAGCCCGCACGACCTGCACACGGCTCGAGATACGGAGTTTCGAACTGCGTGTGTTCGGCCGCGTCATGTGAGGAGACCACAAGCTTCTAGGAGTGTGACCGAACACACGCAAGTGCAAGATAGGCGTACTCCTGCAAGCCCGGCACATGTCCAGCGAGGTCAGCTGTAGCTCAAGTGTCGACGCATACTAGCGTTTCTTCCCTCCCTCGCATGCTTGGCTCAAGGCGACGACGAAGGCATCGAAGCAACGGGTGCGCCTGTAGCAACAATGACGGAACGATTGTTCAGCAGGAACGGCAGGATACATTCGGTACAGTCTCGTGTTGATGCTAGAATGAGCATACCCTGGTTTTGTGGTACTCAAGTAAAGAGCTGTGTGTCATAGTAGTGAGCTTAGAATGCGTATGGTAGAGAGGGAATCCGTGCTATCCGCTGAGAACACCCCTCCTCTGGTACTGGGAATGCTCCCCTTCCCAAAAACGGAAGGGCGAAGTTCGAACGGTTGGGTTTGTGACGCAAACAGCAAGCAGTGGAAGGTGAATGGCATGGACCCAGATTTGCGGGGTTTTCGGCCCGCAGCCGTAGCTCTCGACAGCACAGCTCCAGCAAGAGATCCGGGCCTCCGCAGCCCTCGACAGCACAGCCCCAGCAAAAAATTGGGCGTGCCAACGCGCATGCTGCTCCATGGTGTCCTCTACTGGAAAGTATGCCGAGGTTGGGACTCCACAGGCCGGAAGGTCGTTTCGGATGGTTTGGCCTCCTAGTACATTGGATGTAGACCAGAATTGGGGACACCATAGTCTACATGCAATAGGCAACCTCCAACAGGCTGCATCGACCTGCGGAGTGGGGGTATTCGAGACCTACTAGTGTGGCTGCACCAGCCAGCACGCTCGGAAATAAGTAAACGATAGCAGTTTTGGGGGGGAGTCTTGGAATGGGCGTGGGCGTGGCGAAGGGGGTGGACCCATGCGACACATGTATGTCCCGCAGAACTGCATAGACTACTACTGTGGTTGTAAACATGTACAACCTACCTGTAGATACCTGATACCTGCACCTACCGCAGACCCACTGACTGCTGAGCACTCTGACCTTCCCGCTTCAACAGATACTGCCCAATCCGTCTCACCTTTAGTAGTCATCGGTCATCTTTCACAAACGGGTGGAGCACTCCCCGTTCCCCCTCTTGTCCTCGCGCACTCATCGGCGGGGAATGCAGGAGTATGTGGGGAATGGGGAACTCGGTAATCTGGTGACTGGTAACCTGGTCGCAAGGGCGAGACTGTTGGAATCGTCCAATCCAAGTGCGTGTTCGATCGCGGTCTCACGGTTCGTGGCCTGGCGCAGCCCACCAACACTGCTGTTTTCTGTACCTGCTGCATCACGATCTGCTGCATTGTTCATCGCATATGCCCGAGGGCTCGACGCCGAGGATTTCGATGAACAGGAATACTCTCACACCCATTCCACGCAGGCCAGTTACATATGTTCGAGTGAGAGACTTTCCACGCGTCATGCAAGATGTGTACCGCGCAGAACAGGGTGAATGCGTGGGTTTCTTTTGTCTTGCGTCTCCGTCGCAAGTGTCGCCTGTGGACCCTCTCTCTCTCTTCGGCGCAAGTACGCCACACGCGGCGATATGGCAGTACACCCTTGCGCTTGATGGCAGGCAGGAGATCACGAGGTTGTGTAGGATTCCGGCTCAACTGGCCTACAGCAAGATTTTGATTTTGTAGACTATCCCTTGGATTGCTTGGATACATGTATTTAGTCCATAGATAGACTAATGTCAAGGCGCGAAGAAACTTTTTTCCTCCCATCGGTAGGGTTCAACGATATGTAGATAGGCTAGCTATTCTTGTTCTCTCCGTAAATTCATATGTGGGACAGTTGGCGCCCGTGCATACAAGAACCGTTTGTTGTTGTTTTCTTTCGAATTGCTTCATTATTGTTCTTGGTTTCAAGGAGACACATTGGGGAGTGCGACACACGGAACGTCTGTCGTCTCGCCAGCCACATGAAGTACGAGGCGCGGCGTTAATTATTTCAAACCTGTCTCACTCCCTGCAAATAATACTAGCCTGGTGACTCCGACTGCAAACGTACGAGTCCCGAAACTTACCGAGCCTCAAATGGTACACACTATTCTACAACACCCCAGCTAGAAATCGAGCACTCCCGATCTTTTTATTCCCCCACATTCGAAAGAAAAGGGATGGCAAGGCGGGATTTTTGCTATACTGTCGCTTCCTACGTTGCCCGGCCACTGCTGTCCTTCCTTGTCTTCGCGCGTTCTGCAGCTTCCGTTCATTACTCGGCATGCTGCACCACTTCGCGCTCTCTTCTCAAAGGAATGACAGGGAAGGGAGTGCGAATTTCTTCCCCTCGTGACCCCAGGGTTCCGAACAATTAGTCTAATTAGGCTACAATCCGAAACTGTTCCACCAATCACCGCCATTCTGTCTGTTCGACGAATAAACTTTCTTCATATTCTGGCCGTCGATGCTTATTGACCGCCTCCAATTGAGCACCTATTCTTATTTTCAACGTTCTTGTTTCGGAGCAGGCATCCGCGTTTGAAAAACGGGGTTCTTATTGTTATGCCCTTGTCGAGGTGTAGTGAAATTTGACCCCTTCCTTCAGAATCAGTCACCTGTTGTGCTGTATGGGACTCTCTTGTCCGACCACAGGCGCAGTTGGTATTGCTTTCCGTTGTTGTCTTTCTCGTTGGAAATTTCCAAGCCAATTCACAAGTTCCCAAGCACACACGATCACCAAATCGTCTGCCCGCACACTGAACAGAAGGGTACATGTCTCGGCATAAAGCCGTAATCTACTAATAATCTATTATAGCATGATATCACGTCTTAGCATCCGACGGCGCCAAATAATCATGGTCAACCACGATCACATGTCTATCTCCAAATACCGTAACAGAGGCCCCCATGCAGCTGACACCGGTTTTTATTCTGGGTGGGCCCAACCTACTTTGAGAGCAGCGTGTTCAATGATAACAGCAGTATCCAATACAAGTCGTTCAACAGTTACCTCTGAACCCAACGCACCGCAGCCTCCGGGATCATCATGGTAGGTAGGGCAGAAATACAGACAGACGCGTATCGCCTTAATAATGTCGCATCGGGCAACATTGGACCGTTTAGTGGTCCACAAGGGCCACGTTTGGCGTGATTGTCCTCCCACTCTATCTACTAACGCCCGTCGCTCTACCAACGCCCGTACGTAGCTAAATTAACTATTTAGGACCTTTGCTCTGGCCGGACCTCCTCCCAGCTCTGCGGTGCTCCTCTCAAGAAAGCCCACGACCCTACCACCGCATCCGGATCTCCTCTGTACTTGTCCAACGGCAGGTTCATGCTGCGGGTATACCTTGGTCTACATGTAGCTCGAAATGCACACGGTAGTTGTAAAGGTGGCGGGTACGCTCCTGAGACTGCCGCGTGATCAGCTCACCAAACCATCCCATGTTCAGCTCAATTTGAATCACAGCGAGAAGAGTAACCATCGAAATGTGTTTACCTTCTTTTCATCACTACACACTACTGCTGTATCCTTGGAAACAACGACAATAATAGCAGCCGCAGTCGCAGCAGCAGCAGCAGCAGCAGCAGCAACAGCAACAACAACAACAGCAGCAGCAACAACAACAACAACAGCAGCAGCAGCAGCAACAACAACATGGCAGAGGGGCACGAGACACGACGTCCAACTTGCCATCATCTCCTTCGTCAGTGGGATCGCTCTCCCCCCGCTGTTGCCCCCCTTGCTCCGATCCCTCTGGCCATCCCCCCCCCCGCTCCCCCCAATGCCAGCCTCTGACGGTCCCTCGTCGTCGTTGGAGTTTTCGTCGCCCATGAAGGGGTACGGCTTGTCCAAACCCTTCAACGTGATTCGGTCATCGCCATATGATGGGCAGGATGTGCGTTGTCACGTGGTTACTGTTGCGCACACCTGCTCAACTACGAGAGTCACCCTACAAAGTAATGTATGCATACAACACATATGAGTGTATTAGACAAATGAACAGATATCGGTAGCGCGCACATCAAAGCTTTTGTGGGAGTGCAAGGTCTGCAAGAATTTCCCGCCTCATCGAAAAAATCAGCCGTGAACGAGACGCGGTTGGATTCCTGGCCTCCCATACTCCCGTCGGCGTTCCAGCCGTCATTAGCGCTGAGGTAGTCCCATACTCCTCGTTGACGTAGGCCCGGCGGCCTAGCGCCTACGGCATGGATGTAGCGACCCTATCGTCGTAGCCTTCCTCCAGGAAGGACAGGGGGTGGCCCCGAGCTATCATGAGCGGCTCAATCTCAGAACGGCAGAAAGGCATCGTCTTGAGCGCGGTGTTGGTGAATGTGTAGACCGGGCTCCTACAATATTTATCCGATATTGGTTTCTTGAAGGAAGCGTGCAACGGATGTGTGTGCCCATTGACTGCAAGAATGACGTCTTATTCATAATGTAGAAACACGTATCTCGCTCGCGATGTTGTTGAGGACGTTCGAAAATCATTTCTATTTCACAAATAGGCAAATGTGAGCTGCAGACTCAAGCCTTGACTTGAGTGTCTGAGTTCCATCCATTGCTCAAGCTTCGCTGCACCTTCCTTTATCATCGGTCTTACCAATATGCCAACATGGTCCTGGTGATCATTTCCTGCTGAATAACGTGCGTTGTCAATTGTCACAACCGAAGAGCTTCTGAATTCTATCATCCTTGGTCGCAAAGAAGGTTTCGCCTGCGACGCACGCCTCAATAATTATGTACAGAGAGGATCAGCATGTTGATCGATCATTCGGGTGGCTCAGCTCTGTGTGTTGGGAGTGTGGAGCAGCTCGGCCATGACGTGCCGTGGTAGGGTAGGGACGTATAAGATAACGTGTTGCATTCATCGGGTGCGTGCTTGAGCTCGTCAATCGGTCACGGCACCGAGTCATGGTCCACGCTCATCACGCTCAAAGTACCTAATGAATTTCCATGAATCTCTATCATTCCATCACACTCCCAAGGAAAATATGAAGAGACTTCCTGTTCCTCCGCCTCGTCAAAGCAATTTTAGTACATGTATTCGAAAGACATCACCCATGATGCTATGCTACGAGTTTATCTAATAAATAGAACCCCTGCTCGTATCGATTTGTCTATTTACGCCACCGGTGGCGCAATTTCTTACATGCGCCACCGCTCTTATCTCCGCCCACAGAGCTTCAATTGGCACAAACTAAAAATTGTGGTGTAGCTATGACCCATAGCAATCATACAAGCCATTTTGAAGCAAAATCCATTCGGTCGTTGGAAAGTTATGCTCGAAAAAGGGGGCTCAGCGGCATCAAAAGGCGGGCACCAACCACATATTCCACCGTAACTCCGTGGCCAAAGCTCCAATCGACGTCAAACAAATTGCGCTGGTCGACGGACGTCCATAGCCATCGTTCAAGCCATCTGGGACGTCCATCCGACCAGTAGATGCCGAGATATGCCCTCCCACGGGGGTACAGTGCCACCGTAGGGCGGTGGCGCATATACCCTACGGTGGCACTGTACCCCCGTGGGAGGGCATATCTCGGCATCTACTGGTCGGATGGACGTCCCAGATGGCTTGAACGATGGCTATGGACGTCCGTCGACCAGCGCAATTTGTTTGACGTCGATTGGAGCTTTGGCCACGGAGTTACGGTGGAATATGTGGTTGGTGCCCGCCTTTTGATGCCGCTGAGCCCCCTTTTTCGAGCATAACTTTCCAACGACCGAATGGATTTTGCTTCAAGTTGGCTTGTATGATTGCTATGGGTCATAGCTACACCACAATTTTTAGTTTGTGCCAATTGAAGCTCTGTGGGCGGAGATAAGAGCGGTGGCGCATATAAGAAATTGCGCCACCGGTGGCGTAAATAGACAAATCCCTGCTCGTATGCATCGTCATGCTCCGGCAAAATATCAATATTATCCTCACCGTCCCAGTTTCTCCAAAAGACAAAAAACAAAACAAGATACCCATCCCAAATCACATACCTTGTCCTCCAAAACCCACCAAGAAAAATCCCGAAAACGAACACCATCAAAAACCATCTCCACCACAAGTAAAAAAACTTCCAAACCAATCAAGAAAATCCCAACACAACTCCAACACTCTTTCCACCTTCATCAGCCTCTCTCCTTCTCTTGTCCGATCTCGTCTCCCTCTTTCTCTCTCCGCTCCAGCATACGAATCGACCCTAAAACGCTTCCTTCACGGCAAGTTCATCACAAAGTCCGGTGCACCGCAAAAGACTCCTTGCTAATAGCCATTTTCAAGAAGTCTGTAGGTTGAAATTGCGTCGGCACAAAAGTAATTGAACCCCTTTCTCTCACTACCAACTCGCTAATGAAGTGATGCCGTGCATCGACGTGCTTCGAGTTGGAGTTCGTGATCGGGTTGTGCTCAATCTGAATCGCTCCCTGGTTTTCCTCGAACACCGGGACGCATGGCATACTTTACCCGCATCTAACAGCATAAAACGCCACACCTGCCTCAAGAACAGCACTTCCTTCAAGACGTCGGCAATTGCCACATACACTGCCCCCGTGGTGAAAAGCGTAACCCCCTTTTGAATTTCGAAATGGCACAAGTCAAGATTCTGGTCACATGCTAATGCTGCCAACAAGCACACACTAGACACTGATACGTTGGGTGCAAACAATTCTCCAAAATCAATCGAAGCCCTCTGCATTTCCCCCCGCGCTACAAGTCTTGCCTTGAATTTCGTCGGCCATCCGTACTCGTCTGCCTTACAGTTAAGGACCCACTCGGCATTGATGACGTTCTCTACTGATTGCTACACCGGACTCAAAGTTCCTGCATCCAACAAGCCGAAAAACTCTCGACCGACTGCATCATCTCACAACTCTGAATCTTGAGACCGCATGGCCTCCTTCAACGTTTTAGGCACTCGGAGGTCACTGGCGAGGCAGTGAGGAAGGTCCGGCATCTTGTCAGGAGGACTCTCGGCGCAAAGAGCAGCGTCCACGTCCTCGCGGGTGGCGAACATCGAAGCGAATATGTGCGGCCTCCCCCCCCCGCCGGAATCCACGGGCCCGCCAGCTCCCACGGCCTCCAAAGCTCGAATCCGGCGACGGCGGAGGCGGTGGGTCGCAGCGTCCTTGGTCGACACCTCGCGGGTTGCCAGCGACGAGATGAGGGAGTCCTTGTCCATCATTGCTAACAGACCAAGATGGTGGTGGAGAGCGGCGCTGCCACCGGACGACGGTTGTTGTCGCTCGTCCACGAACCTCACCCCATCGCCGCGCGTGCGGCCGTTTACCGTTGTCTCCTCTCGTCCCAACTCCTTGACGGCTCGTTTCGAAAGCGGCGGGTGCGGAGGAGCGGGAGCGACGGCGCTGGCGGGCTGCGGCGGCGGCGGCGGCGGCGGCAGGCCCTGCAGCGAACGAAGCGGTGTGGCTGGGGCTGATGATGGCGCGACGGAGATCGGCGACGGGGTTGAAGATCCTGTGAAGATTGGCGAGGAAGAAGGCGGCGGCGGTGCGGTGGTCGCCGGTGCTGGCGAGGTGTACGTGTACGTCCTTGCCGACCTGGGCGGCGGCGGTGTGGCAGCGGCCGGCGGAACGGCGGCGGCCGGCGAGGGGGCCGCAGTGACCGAAACCCCCCCTCCCGATGCCCGGCACCGGCGTCGGCGTTGCTGCTCTCGGGTTGACCCACGCGACGTTGTTGGTGAGGGCGAGGCGCCCGGTGTCAGCGCGAAGAACGACGGCGGTGGACGTCGAGTGGTTGTTGGCGCCGTGCAGGTAGAAGCACCGCGCAGATTGGACGTCCGCCTTGGTGGCCCGCTTCACGCGCATCATCCCTTCCTGGAAAAAAGGGACGACGGTGAGGGGCGGCTTCCGGCCGAAGAACGCCTCGCACGGCGACATCCAGCCCCGGTTGGCCTTCGTCGCGGAGCGATTAAAGCAGGCGGATGCCCACAGCGCCGAAGCGAGCTACAGGCGATGTCCGTTGACGCCGACGTTGGGGATGGAGGAGAGGTCGACGTGGCCGATGGCGAGGGTGTGGCGGCGCGCGGCGTGGCCCCCCTTCACGGCGCGCCAAATGGCGCTCTCAACCACCGCGTTTTGCTTGGGGGTGTCGGGGGCGGTGTACTCGCGTCGAATGCCAGCAGCGTCGCAGAACGAGGTGAACGCGGAGCCGGTGAACTCGCCGCCGTTGTCCATGCGGAAACACCCTGGAGTGCCCATGCCGTTCATGTCGGCGAGGAAGGGCAGAACGTACTTCAGGGTGTCGCTCTTGGCCCGCATTCCGTACCCCCGTTGCCACCGCGACGCGCTGTCCACGAACATGATCAGGTGCCGGGAGCGTCCAGCGCGTCAGAGAACGGGCCCGTGAGGTCGATGTGAGCTTTGCCGAACGGTACCGCCGCGCGGGTGCCACGCCGCGACACCGGGGCCCGCCTGCCCTTCGCTTCCACGCAGCCCACACACGGCTGCATCTCCCTCACCAGTCGTACACCCTGCTGGTTGGCTGTCTCACGCATCAGAAATTCGTTGACATGGCCGGTGGAGGCATGAAACAAATTAATGTCGATGGGGGGGGGAGCATTTTCCTACTGAAAATGGGGAAGCATCGGGGGCGATAATCGCCAATGCATGCGAGAGGGAGGGGGGAGCTACGGTTTGCTGCTCACTGCATCCAGCAACAAAACCTCTCAGGCTCTCCAAGTCATCGCTCATCACGTCAAACGCGGGGGAGGGGGGTTCCGCTGAAGCGTGAACATCAAGCGCATCAGGAAAAAATCACCCTGTGGGACCGAGTCTTTTCCATCCATCAGGCCAACATCAAGGAACATGCTCATATCCATGAGAGGCAAATGGCCCTGGGGGATGAGGGGGTTGATCATAACTTCACGAAAATCGCTCGGGTCAACGACGGAGGGAGAGACAATCTCAGATGATGCTACGGCAGCAGTAATTACAGGCTGTAAATCGGCGATAGTCGTTGGCACTGCATTTACGTCGATGGACGGGAATGCACAACGCGGAAGTACTACACCGAACGTGGTGGATGGGAGGCTCGAAGTCGCACTCGCAATCGAAGGTACAATGCCGGCAGCGGCACCACCGGCGGACTGGAAGCTCGGACTCGCACTCGAAATCGAAGGTACAACACCGGCAGCGACTCCACCGGTGGACGAGAAGCTCGTACTCGCAGGTGTGCCCGCTCCTGTGTCTGGGGAGAAAGGGGGGGTCGCCACAACAAGGCCTGTTCCAACGCCAGGCGAGGGAGCTTGGGGAGACACACGAGGGAGGGCATCGGGACCGAGGGTCACAGCACTACCGGTATACGTGGGAGGCAAGCGAGTGACCCAAATAGAACATCCTACATCGGAGTAAGCAAAGGGAGCTGATCATTGAAGAGATGCACGCCATTCTCATCCCACGTAATTTTCTGCCTACGCTGCGTATGGTGTAGAGAAAACAGTTTGAACGTGATTCTAGGTACGACGTACACGTCCGACAGCTGTGCGCAAAAGCCAACCTCGCCCGATGGGCCGGGCATGTTGAATGGCATGTTGATGCTACCAACATATTGCACACGCAGAAAGGCACAATTCCCTACTTGGATGAACTATTTTCCTGCCGGGATCGGCTTCATGTCGAACATGTTTTCGCTACTGCTGACAAACGTGTTGTTGCTGCTGAGGACGCTGCTGTTGCTGTTGCTGTTGCTGTTGCTGTTGCTGTTGCTGTTGCTGTTGCTGTTGCTGAGGCTGCCGCTGTTGCTTAGGCTGCTGCTGCTTAGTCTGCTGTTTCTTCCGTCGCCGACGCTGGGTATAGCATTCGCTGTTGGTGTGCGACGAGTGGATGATCTNGGATCGGCTTCATGTCGAACATGTTTTCGCTACTGCTGACAAACGTGTTGTTGCTGCTGAGGACGCTGCTGTTGCTGTTGCTGTTGCTGTTGCTGTTGCTGTTGCTGTTGCTGTTGCTGTTGCTGAGGCTGCCGCTGTTGCTTAGGCTGCTGCTGCTTAGTCTGCTGTTTCTTCCGTCGCCGACGCTGGGTATAGCATTCGCTGTTGGTGTGCGACGAGTGGATGATCTTCGCAGCGCTTGTCTCCGTCCGCCCTGTTGTTGCTGCTCCGACCGCCTCCATTGCCGTCCTGACCCCCGCCGTTTCCACTGGACCCATTTTGGACATGTCCGTCGACCCGGTTCCCACCGGCAGCGACGAAAGCGTGCCCCGCGCTATCCTGCGGCTCCCCCTCCGGTACGCTCACCATATCCGCATGGGCATCTTTCACGACCTTCTCAAGGTGCTGACGGGTTAAATTGGGGGGCGGAAGGGAACGCAGCATGGACTTGTCCATTTTGTACTCGGGAGACAAGTCGGTTACAACATACAAGTTGGCATGATCGTCTGAATACGTGACGCCGTGCGAGGCTTGTTCGTATATGTCCTTTACTTGGAAGGAGAAGACGTTTTATCTCTTGTTTTAGACACGCAAGGGGAGTAGGGAGAAGTGAAGCGTTCTTTGGAGTTCGAGGGGTCCCCGCACATGCAACCATTTCAAGGTGTACATATGCCCCATCTGCGTGCCCTCTGTTGTTGCCGGTAGATCTAACCAGTCCGTATTCAAACACACGAACACCCTCCCCGATTTGCACGCGAATGGCAAACCTAACGTGGGGCATGGATACCCCTCATCTACCAAAGGGACTCAAAACAACAACCAGCTCGAGGGAAACCCGGCCAACCGGATCAAAAACCCTCGTCTCACACCCCAAATATAGAAAACCGTCTCTATCACGGAGGATTCCAACGGCCGCACTTCCAAGACAAGACCAAGGAAGGACAGATTGAACCGGTCACGCTGATTACACACCCGAAGCAACGCTCTCGGCGTTTCTAGGCTCCAGCCGCGGGTGACGCGCCGGCACAACGCTTCCTGCGTGACATACCATGGTCATATATGCCAAGTGCTAAAACCACCACATAAGCCAAACAGAACAAGAGAACACTTCATCGGTAGGTTCATCAGAGCCTTCCGGTGGTACTCTAACTTCTCTTTGCCAAGGACCTTGGTCAGCATGTCGGCGTGCTGCTCTCCAGTCGAAACATACCCTGCAGTGAACTTGCCCGATTTGAATAGCTCGCGAGTGAAATGGAACCGCACGTCGATGTGCTTGCTCCTCGCTGAGATGAACGGGTTATCGATTAAGGCGAGAGCCCCCTTGTTGTCCTCAAGGACCTTGATCTTCGCCCCACTCGTCTCGGGCGCTATGAACGACAGAACTCCGCGCACAAACAACGCCTCCTTCACGCCCTCCCTGGCTGCCATATACTCTGCTTCCGAGGTCGACAGAGCCGTCACTGGCTGCGTATTGGTGGATGCACACACTACGGTACCACCTACGGTCACAGCTGGCCCGGTCGTAGAACGCCTGTCTACTTCGTTGTCAGCGTAGCTGGCATCGACAAACACACTTAGGTCTAGCCCTGACCCCGNCCTCCTTCACGCCCTCCCTGGCTGCCATATACTCTGCTTCCGAGGTCGACAGAGCCGTCACTGGCTGCGTATTGGTGGATGCACACACTACGGTACCACCTACGGTCACAGCTGGCCCGGTCGTAGAACGCCTGTCTACTTCGTTGTCAGCGTAGCTGGCATCGACAAACACGCTTAGGTCTAGTCCTGACCCCCGTA